GGTCACCACATCCCCCCTCACGGCCCCAACGAGCCCGGCAGGGACGTTAAGTAAGAACATGGAGGGCGTTTGGTCGAGTCCTTGGCACCGCCTGTCACTGAGGCGAATGGCCAGAACACCACCGAAAGAGGAGAGCATATGGTACAGCACGGCTCGTTTGTATTTTTTGAGGAGTTCCAATATATAGAAATCAGGCAATCTATCTATAAAAATATAAACATAAATTTTAAGTAGGGAGAGGAATGCACGCCACTTGCTCGTGAGCACAGAATAACATTTAAAATCACCTTTAAACCTCAGGCACGCTTGTGCCGGCTGTGCAGCTGAAGCCCATTACAACTGTAATGTTTTGGGTTGTAATCAAAGCTGTGCTGCTCATGTGGAAATTGATGGAAACATTGAAATTTCACGGTGAGCAGTGGCAGAACTCAAGCTTTTCTGTCAAAAGAGCATTGCCTTTTTTTTTTTTTGTACTTTTTTTTTGGTACTTTTTTCTGCCTGGAGTAGAGCAGGAAAACAAGTGCTCTACTCACTACATTTAGCTCCTCAGGGCTCAGGATCCTCTGTGAGTATCACCTTGGAGTCACGATAAACAAGAATTTCCTCCAAATCATTAGCTAATTGTGACCATAAAATCACCTGAGATGGGGTGGGAGGGTTCATATGCTGGATCAGCATTTTGAATGTGTGATTGAAATTACAATTTCAATGTTGAAATCAGAACTTCTTTCTCAATGCTCAGGCTGGCTGTGGCAAGAACCAAAATCACTCCTGAGCAACACTTCCTAACAGGCCAGGAGGCAGAGGAAAGAGGTTTAGTGGTACACTGAACATGCTGGAGCTTTGAAAACATCAAGACAGGCACTTCACTAATAACTGCAAATCAGCTCTAATGGTGAACAATGTGATGTCTCCTTTCCACATAACATTGCCCCATAATTACATCTCACTCCATGATTTGACATCACCAAAAGAACCTGAGACTGTCATGGCATTGGCTGTTTGCAAACCTTAAGAAAAAAGAATCAACTACAACTTTTAGAATGAAGTAATGAAGCTTTTGAAACACTGTGAGTTTTCACTTCCAGCAAAGCAATTTAATTTTTAATCTGTCCAAAGCATTTTAGCTGGAAACCCTTGAATTTTAAGCAAAGAATGGTTATTTTGGCAGAACGGAGGGGTGTATTTTCTGCAGTGAATCTTCCCCAGAGGTTCAACATGTCCATGTCAAAACTGATGAGAAGAAATCCTTTGGCTGGTGCCTTTCAACACTTCTGCTGGTTTATTCCAGTTCTTGCTCAAGTTGCTGCACTGGTGGGAATTAGGAGCCCTCAGAAGAAAATCCTGCAAGGACTTGCAAGTTCCCATTGCACAAACACTGAAAATACTCCAGTTCTGAAGCAAGACACAGGAGCTACACCAAGGCACAAGAACATCTCGTTTCACAATGCCCTAAACTGAGCTCAGAACACTCAAAAGCCAAATGAAATGTGGTATTCCCAGTGAAGATACATCCAAAAGCACTGGCACTTAATGGTCCATCCTGGCTCCCAAATGGCATCTATTTCACAGGACATTCCTAAAGGCACCAGGGACGTGGTTCTCTGGTTCTCTGTCACAATTTGTACCCAACATCAGCTGGAGGATGCAGCAACAGTGACAGCTGCAGCAAGGAGAGGCAGCCCTCCCAAAATCAGGCTGCTGATCTGACATGCACTCCCAATTTTTTAATAATTCACTTTTCTTCTCCCCCCCCAGGGAACTGCTCTGTATCAGATATTGCTCAGGGCTGCAGTGTTTTAGGCTCCAGAGTGAAAAATTTGGTTTAATTTAATGTGTACTCACCCCTGGATTACAGCACGTGGGACACACTGAGAAGGGCAGGGTATTCACTGTCACCTGGGGCTTTGGGTTTTCTCTGCAGAAAACAACCCTTATGGGACTGGTGAACATCATTGCTGACATGAAAAGGTTTTCAAAATAAAAATAACTGCTAGAATTAGCTGTGCAGTGGGATTTATAGTAAATATTGTTATCTACATATCTACGACACACTAATTACATATTGCACAGAATTTACATATTCATCCCCAGTGTGCTGCAGTCAGCATTGCTCAAAATTCCTGCTTCACTTTAAACTGAGCAGATCCCCTGCTCTCTGTTAAGACTTGTAACACTGGTGGCTCTTTGGCATCTTCAGATAAACTTTTAAAGCTTTTCTACAAATTGATTCAATCCAGGTCAGCAGTGATCACAGGAGCAGCCACTGAGGCCAATTCCAATGAGGGAGGTTTGGGTTTGCATCAATTTATTGTGTTAATTCCCTTCTGGATGACAGCTCAGTGCAAACTCAGCACAGAGACTTGAAAGGGCCTAACAAAGGAAAATGCAGCATTTTCCTCAAGAGCAACTTGGTTTGTTTTCCTGTCAGGTGTGAACTTTGAGATGGCACAGGCCACTGGATCCATCTCCTCTTGTAACCTGCCAGGAAAACAAGCCTGGCTCCATTCAGTAACACAGGGCACGAGTCTGAGTGGTACAAACCAAAACCCAGCTGGTTCTCCTGGGCACTGAAATGAATTCTCATTTCCAAGAAGAATCACCATCATTCAGCCAGGGCACTGGGCATTAAAGAATCTCTGAACACATTAAAAACACAGTTCCCATCTAAAAACCCCAATCCCTGTCATTTGATTGCCTGAAACATGGTGTAAGGTAACTTTGAACACTTGTTTTATAAAATACCTGCTAAACTGCTTGGGACAGAACAAGTGCAGGGATTGAGGAACAAAACCAGCTGAATCTCCCCTGCCTCCTGCCACAGCTCTGACTTCTGGGATTCAAAGGATTTAATGTGGCACAGTTCCATGAAGGACTGGTTTATGGATCTAGTTCTGGGTTTTAACCCCAGTCAGGCCTGGTTTTCTTGGGCTGCAGAAGGAGAACAAGCTCTGCTTGGCTCCTCAGACTGGATGAACTGACCCCAAATCCCCTGCAGATCCTGTCTGACATTTGGAATAACACTGGATGGATGTTTAATGGACAACTCATTAAACTCATTGCCATGTGGATTTAAAAAGACAAGGAAACTGCTTCTTTCCCTAATTTTTCATCTTTCCTGCTGCTGTAAATAGATTTAACAATGAGACCATCAGGAGTCTTTGCAAATTTAAGTACTTACTGAAGCTTTTGGTCCCTGTGCTTCTGCCAGCTCTTCCATTTCAGCCAGGACTTTATGGCAGATTTTACTTATTCCCACTTGTTTGCATGTCAGACCAGTTCCAGGAGGGATGTGATGGGAAGGATTTTGTGATTTTAGATGAAATTCTTGCTAGAAGGAGCTCCAGCACCAAGGAACACTGTTCATCCTGGGACAATGAGTGTCCAGGCAGAGAAAATCCTCCCCTGGCCTGGGCTGCATGGAACCACAGCATCAGCCATGGGAAGATGCAGGTGAAGTGTAAAGAGGGAGGTAACAGAAAATCAAAAGATGATTCTGAGAACAGAGGGAGAACAAATGACAATTTTTTTCTCTTCCTGCAGATGAAAGAAGAGGAAAACCCATGTTTCACTCACTCCAGAAGCATCAGGAGGTGAGCAGTTCTGAGTAGTGACCAAAACAGATTTAGCATCCTTTTCTTCCCAAACAATAGGGAGAAAACCAGCTGGAAAGGACTTAGTACAGGATAATCCCAATAAGCAGCCAAGCTTCCATAGATTCTCTGAAATCTCAGGAGTTTTTGAGCCCAGGAGTTATTGGGAAACAAGATTTCAATGGGTAAGGTTTGGGCAGACCTAGAACTGCCCTGGGAAAACTTTCAGCTGAGCAGGGTTGGGCAGAGCCTCTTGAAGGTGCTGTAAGTTTGTGTTACTGCCTCATCCAAATCCATTTTTTTCATGCCTCTGGATCCTGAGGGATCTGTCTCACTCAGTGCTGGGATTCTGGAGTCCTGTGCTGTGTCCTTAGTGCAGATTGACTGTGTCTCTTAAGGAAATCTATTTAAGCTCCATGCAGACCTTATTTGTACAGTAAGAATAATTCTGATTCACTTCACAACAAGGGCAGGAGGATTAATTAATAACTGCAGAAGTGCTAAACATTATTAATGGCTCCCAAGTTTTCTTCTCTTGGAAACAGTGGCCATTTCTTCCCATAATGTTTTAAACAGTTGCTGCTCAAGGAGCTTAGAGTGCAGATTCGTGGCTTGTGGTTTGTCCATAAATCACAGACCTGGAGCCTGCCCAAGACTCCTGATGGGCTCAGCAGGAAGTCTGGACAAGAGAAAACTGTTCTGAGTGTGGCCCCTGATCCCCTTCATGGCCAGTCCAGTTCCAACGTCCCACGCCAGACGTGAGAGGGATTCTGTCCAAGATTGGAGGCACGAGGTCTCTGGAATGTCCTTTCCAACTGCATTTCACTCCCCATAAATAGTTTCCATCTTCTGCCCTGGAGAATATAGGTTTGACTTCCCAGCTGATGGGTCTGGGCAGGGCAGGAGAGGAAGCCACGCTGTTCATCACCAATGGATTTTCAGCACACAAAGTTTAAATTGTAGTGAAAAATTATCAATCCCCCCAGAAAACCTCAGGAACCTAACCCAAGATAAAGTCAGGCAGCTGTAAATAAGATCCAGAAAAAAAAAATTAAATCCAGTAGATCAATTTTCTGCACAAAGCAGCATTGCTTACAGGAAACTGTTTACCAAAGAGCCTCTGTTGCCTTTTCAGACCCGGAATCATCATCCAGACTCCAGCTTTAGAGCAGCTTCCCAATGTTCCTATCAGCACTTCAGTTTGTGTTCATCAACACGATGCCATACATCCACCTTTCCCACCAGGATCTGCTCTCTTAGCCAGGAAAATCATCCTCACACACCAGCATTCCCTGCAGGTGTTTGCAAAATGAAGAGCTGAGTGCCAGAGGTGAGGATCCAGTGGCTCAAACAAAGTGAGATTTGGGCCAAAGAACCCTCCTGATCCTGCTGCTGTGGCTCCTTCCTGCATGCCAGGACCATCACCACCTCTCCCCATGTTTGATGGGCACAGGGACTCAGGGTGGGTGTGCACTCCAGACATCTTATTTGACATTTCAGTCACAAATCCCTCGTGGCATAAAATGAGCACCTGAAGGGCTGCTGGGATTCCTGGAGGATTCACAGGATGGGGAGGTTAAAGATTTGTCAGGCAGCTCATGGCCAGCTCCAAAACAGCAAAGGTCACAAAGCAGCATCAGCCTCAGCTCATTGTATCAACACTCCTGTTTTTAGGCACTTTATCAGGTGCAGCTTGCAGGATTCCACACTCACCTGCTGTGCTGCTCCCATCACAAACCACCAAAGGTTTGAATTGCTTCAGTCCGTGTTACAATCACAGAATCATTTGGGTTGGAAAAGATCCTCAAGTCCAGCCATTAATGTAGCACTAACCCATGAACCAAGTGCCACATCCATGTCCTTTGAATCTCTCCAGGGATGGTGACTCCACCACTGCCCCAGGCAGCTGTGCCAGTGCCTGACCACCTTTCCAGTGAAGAATTTTTCCCAATATCCGATCTAAACCTGTCTTGGCATAACTTGAGGCTGTTTCCTCTCATCCTGTCCCTGTTCCCTGGGAGCAGAGCCTGACCCCCACCTGGCTGGCCCCTCCTGTCAGGGAATTGTGCAGAGCCTGAAGGTTCCCCCTGAGCCTCCTTTGCTCCCCAGCTCCCTCAGCTGCTCCTGGTGAGGAGCTCTGTTCTCTGTGAACACAATCCAGCCCCTCAATGTCTTTCTTGTTGGGAGGGGACCAGGACTGCCCCAGGACTGGAGGTGCCCCAGCAATGCCCATGGGGACAGTCACTGCCCTGGTCCTGCTGGCCACAGTGTTCCTGACAGGATTTATCACCAGCTGTAGCATGGAGAAGGTGGCTCCTTGATTGTCTCAGCACCCTCTAACTGTCATTTTTTTTTCCTCTTCTGCATCTGAACAAAAATGAAATGTTAGGTGATGTTAATAAAACTTCTCAAATGGTCCCCCAAGCAGCAGGAATTTTTCACTCCTCTCTGCACAGCCAGGCTTCCTGTAGCCTAAAGAGCTGGAGGTTGACCTGTCCAGCACAGCACCCAAAGAGTTAACCAAACCCAGTCCCAGCATCTTAATCTGGCAATTTAATGATAAGCTAAACAAATAGCAGGGCTGCTCAGACCCCCACTGAGCAGGAGAAAGGATCCTTATAAAGCATTTGCATGGTGTAAGCAGACACAGAGGGAACCTAGCATGGCATTTCTGTCTGAACAGCCACTGCTCCTTGATTCAAACCAAGGGCTACAGCCCATTGTCAGAGACAAAACTAACAGGGTTCACAGCTACAGCTTCTCCTGCTTCCCCTCTGCACCCTCTTGATTTCACAGCCACCATGTCCAGTGCTTGATGCCCTGAAGAACCAAAGAGACAAACCAACATCACCAGCTGGAAGACATAAAGCCAACAAAATAAAGAGGAGAGTGAAGTGGGGGGGGATGTCTGGAAAATAAGTGTTTATTTATCATAAATACAGATCAGCTAGGTGTGCAGTTTATCCCAGACTCTCCAGAAAGCCACACAGTAGAAAGCTGCCTCCCAGTTACTTCCCTTTTTCCACAAGACCAGGATGAACTCACTTAGCCAGCAGCTCAGTGATCTCTTCTGCCATGGGATTGCACTGACAAGTTCCACCAAGAGTGTCTGTGTCTGCCAAAGGCAGCAAGCTGTCTCCATGCCAGCAAACTGCTCCTGCCTGGTCACACCTGCAGGTTTCTTAACTAATTAATTGATTTTTCCAGTGCTTGTTCAGAGCACAAAGGTGAGGAGGGATTTTGTGGATAGGGAGGGGTATTCAGAGACCTAACTGGGAATCTTGCTGCCAACATCTGTTTTGAGAAAGGCCATTTTTAGTAACAGTATGAAATGAGGCTCTTCAGGCTCAAGTCAGAAATTTTGGGCACATTATTTAAGCAACATCCTCTGGATTTTGTCCCCACTAAGAGCACTGCACTTTGAACAAGCTGATGATCTGATAATTACAGGTGACTCTTCCCCGTGCAGGGAGGGCTGGATGTCCCCAGCACTGTCCCTGCCCTCTGCCCATGAACCTGTGCTGGACAGTGCCTGAGGCAAGATCAGCACAGAGTTCATCCTTCAGTCCTTGGGCTCAGCTCTTCTCCAGGATTCTGGTGAGGAGCTCGTTCAGCCGGTTCACCATGGGCCTGGGATCCTCATTCAGTCCTGCTGCAATCATGGCATTCTCATAAATCTGAAAAAGAGAAGAAAGCACTAAATAAGCACCAAAGCAACCTGCCTGAGGGAGGAAGGGAATGTCCCTCCCAGGACCTGCATGCTGAAACCAAGAATGTCTTCTAGGGCACCTGCTAGGAAAACATGGACCACAAGTCCCAGAAATGCCCAGGGGCCACAGAAGGCTGTGACTCCTGCCCACTGTAATGGTTCACCCTGTTCCCTGCCATGCCTGGTCTGCAAGCTGGTTCTGGGAAGGATGGTGCTGCTTCTGGAGAAGGTCTGCCTCTCACCTGGTCAAGCAACATCTGGGCCAGATCAGGCTGACTGTCCTTCAGCTCGCTGAGCTTCTTAATCAGAGCATGCCTGTAACAGAGAGATCAACACTGAAACTTGCTGATTTAGGACACAGTGAGAAATTTATTTCCAGAATGAGCAGCTAAGTCACAGTGGGTCACCAAAGTAAACTTCCTTGCTTCTGTTCTGGGGGCTTCTCTCTTCTCTCCTATCTGTCCCTAAAACCCCCACGGTCCCCAGGGGGCTGCACAGTGTGTGTGGGGCGCTCACAGATTAAGGCTCTGTGGCACTGACTGCACTTAATGGGGAGGACTCTGCTAATTGGCAGCCTTACACTGCCTCCACATCTGAGAGGCTGCTGTGCCCCAGGCCTGGTGCTGGTGCTGTCCCTTACCCTGTGTTGATCTCCAGGGTGGGCTGCAGGAGCTGGGCTCGCTCCTCCTGGGTCTTGGCCAGCTGCTGCATGCGCAGGAAGTGGCGGGCAGCGCCCATCTCCAGCACGGTGATCATGGCAGGGTGCGTGTCCAGCCGCGTGGTCACCTGGGGCACAAGCACTTGTCAGGGCTGCCATGGCCAGTGCACCTCCAGAATGGAAAAAGGTCACCCAAGGATTGCAAGATCCCGATCCTGCTTTGCCCCAAATGATAGAGCCTGCAGTAAAATTGGCAGCCCTCAACGGGCAGTTACCATTCAAGCAAACACTCTGAAAAGCTTTCACAAATCAAGCAGAAGCGAAGGATGACAAACCCTTGATGTCCTCAACTCAGCACTTCAGCAGAACAATGAAACATTGCAAAATGAGACTTCCAAAAGACTGTTGTCAATGTGGAAAGCCTGGACATGTGGGGAAAGTCTGAGGGCTTGGAGTCTCCTCAGCACAGGTCTACACCAAGCCTCCACATGATTCATTCCCATCCCACAGGAGCTGCCTAAACCAGCAGGAAAGATGGGGGCCCAAATGGTCCCACAGTCCACAGGCAGTGGCTGCAGCTGGACCCAAAGCATTCCTTGCCAATACACCTTTCCACAAGCAAGAAAAGTCACCAGCCTGCTCTGGTAACCTGAGCATCAATTGCAATGGCTTTGCTCAACACACACTGAGATGTGCTTCTTCTGCTGCCACACTGACCAGCCAATGATAAATGTCAGCATCCACACACTTACACAGAGGAGGCACAGAGAAGAATGTCTTCCCACAGGGTCCAAAGAAAAATCTGTGGCAGCAGTTCCCCAACCACCAATCATCTTTTTTCCCTACACTGTTGCCTCTGTGGATCTCCTGTACTCAGTTACCAGACACAGAATACTCACCTTCACCCCAGTGACTCGGGAGCCTAAGGCATTCCTCATCCAGGCCATCAGATCCTCAGCCTCCTTCTCTGTCAGACGTTCTCCAGCTGCCAGGGAAAGAGGGCACATCTGAGTGTGCATCTATAGTGTGCAATGGACAATGAGCTGAGTTTCCACTCTTCCATTTATCATTTCTCTTGTGGGAGTGCAGCACCACTCAGCACACACCTACATATCCTCAGGGAGAGAGCAGGCTCATCCCTTGCCAGGGGCTGCCTGCCTCTGTCTGGGCACCAGATATATGCATGGGGTTGAAATAAAATCATGGCAACTCCACACATGACATTCCATTGAACTTTGATCATGTGAGATGAAACCAATCTGCGAAACTCTGAGCTGCTTCAGTCCATGAGAATGGGAGGGTGGGAGGCTCTTGCTCAGGAGCAGCAGGAGCAGGGGAGGAAGGTGTCCCCTCCCTGCTTGCTCAGGGCAGTGTGCAGCAGGAGGGGACAGGGGAGCCCCACGGTACCTGGGCGGCTCTCCTCAAACTTCTCCTCCTTATAGTGATCAACAACAATGTCTGTCTCCACAGAGATCAGCTTCTTCTTGTCAAACTCCCGGAGGTGCAAGAGAGTCAGCTCATCAAACTGCTCATAGCAGAACAGCACCTGTGCCAACAAAGGGATACAACACATTGTTTGGGGTGTAACAGCATTCCCTCCTTCCCAAGGCAGCTCTGTACCACACAGGAAACTCACAGGTTCAACCCCACAGTGACTGCCACTCAGGGCCTGACATGAAAGCAAACCCTTGAGGGATTTGTTACCATGGGTGGCAGGTCTGCAGCTGAGCAAGTCCTGCTGCCCAGGGAAAGTGAGAGCCAGCAGTGACTCCAGCCCTGAGAGGTTCACCTGCCCACAGAGGACAACTATAACACAATTCCAGCCCTGCACAGCAGCTCCCAGCCTCCTGCTCTGGGGTCCAGCAAAGGTAGGAAACAGATATAAGAACCAAGTGTCTGTACAAGTACTAAATCACAGAGTATGCTGAGTTGTAGGGGACCCATCAGGATCATTGTCCCAGCTCTCCCCTGTGCAGCACACCCCAGCAATCCCTGTGTCTGAGAGCATTGTCCAAATGCTTCTTGAACTCAGACAGGCTTGGTGCTGTGAGCACTTCCCTGGGGAGCCTGTCCCAGTGTCCAACATCTCTGGG